AAACATCTTAAAGACATCTTCAAAACGTCTATTTGACATCTGATAGGAAACGTCCTGTAGACGTATTACAGATGAGCAAACACTCTAAAAAATACGTCTAGCAGATGTAAATGCAGACGTCAAATAGACTTCTCCGTGATGTACTTGTGCTATCAGGGAAGCTGGTTGGCTGGTTTTAGAGGGGTTTTGGCCACATCTTAAAACCAGCTAGCTGTTTTTTTTTCTTCAGCAGCGTGATTCAAAGACGAAATTCAGTTATAGCCTACATTTGTGAGTCACAAATTTGACCACATAACACCACTTAATCATCACAGTCATATACGGGTGCTGAACAGCAATAAACGCTAAACTTACTGACCTCTTGCTTAAGTCTGAAACCTCAGGGGTTAAATTTAGCACACAGGAGTGTCTGTGGGTTTTCCGCTGGTTTAAGACCTGCGTTCTGCGTCCTGAGGTAACGGATGCATGTGTGTGTGTGTGTGGAAAGGAGACATGAGACATGGGACCGTCCCTGAAGACCCCTCGCCACTCTCCTGACCCCAACGAGGAACAGAAACTCACTAAAGTGTGTGCGTGAGGTTTCGTTGGTTAGAAACTCATTAAACTTCTATGGCCGTTCACACAGAACGCGTTTTGCATTCCACCGCGCTGCCTTTCCTTTGATTTTTTTCTATATAAACATGTGCTAGACGAATGTCTTTGACCGTTGTGCTAGCATCTAGCGTGAGCGCCACGTTTTAACCCTCTGATGCATGAATGATTAATTCATAAAGTAATATATTTTTTTACATGTTTGTTTTTACTTTTAAACAAGTGAAAAATCATTCCCCAATTTTTTTTTGTCAATCTAATATATTTTGAGGAAGTTACATATATGTCCACTGTAGTGGACACCATGCATCAAATGTATAAAAAGTGAATCAATTGAACTAAATGTGTGGTCTTAAAAAAACAAGTTTTTAAAATATTTGCTACGTGAAAATAGTGATCCAACAATGAAAATGATTCAACAATTCGTCTCCTCCGCATCACCCTGGTGCCATTTTGGAGAGTATCAGCTGGATGTAAAGAGCGTATGCTATTCTGTGTTAGCTGCGTCACACAGTGATGCGGAGGAGACGAATTATTGAATAAAGTCGTTTTTTTTTTCTTTTGCACACAAAAAGTATTCGCGTAGCCTCGTATAATTGCGGATGAACCACTGATGTCACATTGATTATTTTACCGATCTCCTTGCTACGTCTTTGGACTTGGGAACATTTCAGTTGCGTTGCTGTCTATGCAGGGTCAGACAGCTCTCAGATTCCATCAGAAATATCTTAATTTGTGTTCCGAAGATGAACGAAGGTCTTACGGGTTTGAAACCACATGAGGGTGAGTAATTAATCACAGAAATTTCATTTTTGGGTGAACTATCCCTTTAAGTTATTAGTCTTCCCACAACATCTTCATTGATTTCTCTTGCAGTTACAGTCGTATATTTACATATATAATAACTGTATTTTACACAGCGGAATTATTGAAATTGTCAGCAAGCTATCTAGATATTGACTTAACATCTTCTAGCCTGTGTTTAGACTTTAGTAAGATTTCCCCAAGAAATAGACAAGAATGTACCTCCATTATTCATATTCTTTCCGACAACCTGCATTTAAACCCGACAAACTCATAATTGCAACTTCAGACGTGAAGGAGCTCTTTTAAGTCAAGTGGATCCTGATTGGCTGTCAGTGTTTTTATTGTTTAACAGCTGGAAAGTGAGTTATAGTTATATAGTCTCGTGCCATAATCGCTGGAAAGTCCATCTTACCTGTGAGCTGCGAGGTCCCGCTGTGGCGTCTGTAGATGATGAACCAAAGCAGCAGAACCAGAACCGACCCGCTCGCAACCAGCCCGACACAGATCCACACGCTAGGGCTGATGGTGGACCAGGACTCATCTGGACCTCTGGTGCTCAGCACCGGCGGAGGAACCGCTAGAGCAACGAAAGCATCCAACTCGACATAAAACACACCATCTTGCGCTGATCCAGCAGATCTGCTCATGCGACACTCACCTGATGGCATCAATCCCAGGGATTTGTGGGAGATGCAAAGCTTGAGCAGAGAGTCCCACTGAGAACCAGGAGCGCACGCTGTCCTCTCCATCACTACTGATAAAACTGATGAGAGTAAAGGCAGGGATGGAGAGATCACTTCTTCATTCGTGATATCGGAGAGAATGAATCACTGATCGAATCTCTAGAGCAGTGGTTCCCAACCCTGGTCCTGGAGGCACCCCAACACTGCATGTTTTGCATGTCTCCTTAATCAAACACACTTGATTCAGGTCATCAGCTCATTAGTAAAGACTCCAAGACCTGAAATTGGTGTGTCAAAGAAAGGAGACATGCAAAATGTGCAGTGTTGGGGTGCCTCCAGGACCAGGGTTGGGAACCACTGCTCTAGAGAGACAAAGACTGAAACAGCCGAGCAGAAGGAAACGGAACTTTATTTTTAACCACACATTGTTATATGCACTACTTTATTAAACGGATAACAAACCAAATAGAATCAGTGGTTCTAAAAAAAAAACATCTGTTTAATTGTCTGAATGTGATTCATCAGATCTGCAGGATCGTTTCTCACTATCGGCACTTTTGGTGATTTTTAGTGCATAGAAAGTTAGTTCTCACAAGATAATCACATTAACTATCAACATCATCCACTAACTAACCACATGTTGACTGTCTTCATCTAAAACACCACATCTGTTGATTTAGCATTTCGGTCTGTCAGATGCTTTGATTGTTGTGTGGGGTTGGGGGAAAAAATCATGCTGTGGTAAATCATAATTACTGTATGAGATTAGTTGTAATTATGAGATAAAAAGTTGAAATAGGCATAAAATGTCATAATTATGAGAACAATCGCAAAAGTCAAATTCGACAATGTCAATTATGAAAAAAGTTAAAATTATGACATACTAAATACATTACTGTTTTCATGATTGTAAATTGTGTTTGTGCATGTTTTGCTATAAATGATACTTGATGTAAAATGTTATTTCATGGCAATATATGTTGCTGTATAAACAACTTTGGACCCCATTGACTTTCATTGTATGGACCAAAATAAAAATAAAAAATCTGTTCTACGGAAGAAAGCCTTATACAAACAACATGAAGATGAATAATTGACTATACTCTGAAGTCCTTCAGTGTGTAAAACTGAAAAAAAAACTGTAAAACTGTCTTTAAATCAGCCTTTACAACACATGAACGCCATAATCAGACCTAAATGTTTAAAACCCAAAACTGAAACCGTATGATTTAAGGCAGAATAATGTTTAAGTGCAAAAATGAAACGTGAAAATGAAACTGCTGTGAGCTTGCATAGATAGACAAAATACATTCTACTCACTGATAGTTTCAGTAATTCATAAGAAACCAGGAGCAGATGATCTGATCTCCATCACGGCTGAGAAGAATAATGATTTCAGCATTTCAGTTCATTTGTGAGGAAAGAGAGAGAGAGAGAGAGAGAGAGAGAAGAAGAAACGGAGAGAAAGAGGAAACACCGTCAACAGTTGGAGAAATAATACAGCGGTTCTCAACCAGCCGGCCGCGACTTACAATGATAAAAGTAAAAGTAAGACAAAACAAGATTTAAGCTAAAACTGATAAAAAAAATCAAGATGTATATGAGGGAATATTCTCTCTCCCACTCTCCTTACCGTCAGTAACTTTAGTAACTCATGCATTTATTCTGGCAAACTGTTTACGGCAAAGCAAACTGTGGTACACGGTGTTTTTCCAGCACGATACATAGAAAGGAATTTAAAGTAAGAGCCGGTTTAAGAAGTAAGGGGGGGGGGGGGAAACAGTGAAAAAAAATTCTAAGTTAAAGTTCATGCAAACGGGTATTAATAGACAAGTTTTAGTCAAATATTTATTGTTTATAGGCGAAGAAACACTCTTCAGCAATAAAAAAACAAAGCACAATTGTTAATTTATCTAAAGTTATTTTTGCTTATTAGTATGGTTGAACTGGATCAGCAAAGGTCAGCAGCAAAGACATCAGTTAATAAAATAGGATTAGATACATTTGTGCTATTTAAAGGGATCATATGATGCTATTTTAAAGATCATTATATTGTGTATTTGGTGTAACAGAATATGTTGACATGCTTTAATGTTATTGGCCGAACACCACAAGCACGCGTCGGAAATGTAACGCCCCTTACCATAATCGCGAGCTTCATTGCATCTACTTCCGGAAGGCCAAATAAACTGCTTTTGCTCTTGCACTGAATCACACAGCGTCTCCGACATGGCTGCATCAACACGACTGCTGTTCCTGAAACCACGCCTTCTTTCTTTGCGTGCACATTTGGGCGGCATTATGCAAATATTCCCACATAGTGAGGTAGATATGTGGGGGCGTGTTAGAAC